ATATATATAAAAGAGGAACATGCTATCCTAGCATTTCTCCTTTTCTTATTATGGCGGCGCAGCTTCCAACTTGGAATTCAGTTTTCACGTCTTACCATAAATTGCGTGTCTGCTCGACGTTGCATCGTTAAAGCTTCTTCAAGTGTATATACAATGTGTGTACATACTAACGTATAGGTGTGTGTGTGTGTGTATAAGGTTAACCTTAAAATATCGTTGCGTCTATTAAAAAAGAAGAAGAAAGGAATATACTAAGATATAGTCTTTAAAAGGGATTACAAAGTTACGCGAGTCGAATAAAATGAACGTTAAGGATGCATCTATAGTATATATATATATATCATATGAATCTTACTAGGCATTCGATACATCCGGACATCTAATTCTCGTTTCTATCCTTTGAAACCATCTCAGGTTTCCTTTATCATTCAGTCACATGTCATTTTATAAGTTTAGAATTTCCCGTAAGAATACCGAAGGTGTTGTGTGAAACTGTCTGCCCATGCTGAAAAAGGAAAAGGGGAGGATGGATAAAGTGAAAAAAAAGAGAGAGAGTGTAGGGGAGGAGGGGGAAGAGAAAGATAGTCTTCCAGTCTCTGGGTGTTTTTGGTAGCTATACGCACACACATACAAACGAATTTTCTCACTCGTTCATACATCCTGCTGCTGCTGCTGTTGCTGCTGCTACTGCTGCTGTTGGTTACACCCAAGAGAGTGAATTTATTTCTTTCATTACGAGACTAAAAAGCCAGTCGTATGTGTGTGTGTGTGTGTGTGAGAGAGAGAGAGAGAGAGAGAGAGAAAGAAAAATAGAGGGTTCTCGGATATCGGAGCTGCAAGGCAGCTCGCATAAATCTACGGCCTAGAGTCCGAACGGAGTGCAACTCTGTGAGAGTTGTTCGCGAAAACACAAGAGGAGAAAGAGGAAAATAGAGTGCTCGCGAAAACAAGGACGAGGAGGAGGAGGAGGAGAAAGAGGAGGAGGGAAAATAGAATGGTGGTTGTTAAATTCGAAGAGTACATACGCTCGTGCGTTAACTTAGTTCTTCTGTAACATTGTTCACGATAATTTAGTTACCTTATAGATAACTATATAGACCAGGTCAAACAAGTTTTGACTTAAATTAACTTGTCTATTTCTGTAAAAAAAAAAAGAAGAAGAAGAAAAAAGAAATAAAAGAAAAGAAAAGTCTTCTCGTTCTAATCGTAAATTTAAATATTTTCTATAATTTATTGTCCCGTAAAAAGTAATTTAGTATAAAAAAAAAATCCAATTCAAAAGTTTTTCTTTTTCTTGACTTGCAGCACCGATATAAAAACATATTTCAAGGACCGATCAAATTGGCAATCGACAACGTAAAGAATTAAGCCTCCTGTACGTTCGTATTACGGCGTTAGGAAGGATGACGTGATTAATTGCAAGGAAGGTTATTTGTTCTCGTCGTACCTTTTCTCTCTTTTTCTTTAAATCCCTTTCTGCCTTCTTCCTCCACCTCCTCCCGGTCATTCTGGCGTACTTTTTCTTTTTGATTCTGCGCCAGATCGCAGTGAGATCGAGCGTTTGTTCGATTTTCCTTCGAGTATCATCATCGCGCACGCGTGTCCTGGTTTTTGTTTGTGCGACCGAATCCAAGTATTCCAAGGGAATAAAGCGAGAGAAGAAGAAGAAGTGAAGAAGAAGAGGAGGAGAAGAAAAAGAGAATGACGGCTGAGGTGTTCCAGCTCACCGATCGTGGAAGAGTTGAAAGAGAGAGAGAGAAAGAGAGAGAGAGAGAGAGAAAGAGAGAGAGAGAGAGAGAGAGAGAGAGAGAAAGGACGATTTCTTTTCGTTTTCACGCTGACAGCTCGGACAAAGTAGCAGAAGTTAACGCGTTCGTTCGGTAGCCACACTGTGTTCGAATGTGTCACGACAGCTGTACTTCTCACGTTGGACGATCGAACGTATACTCATTTTTTCACCCTTTTGCGGCCTGACTGGGCTCCCCGCTGCTTATACATCCTCGTTGTCCGACTTTCTTCGATACTATACCACCCACATACCGATGTTCTTTTATTTATTTTTCAAATGCTTTCAAATATTTATTACTTTTTCTCCGATCATATTTTTCAACAAATAAAATATACAACTTTGAGAGAATAGTTTTCATTTCGTATTTCTTGCTAAATGATCATTGAGTTTTATTTATTTAGAAAATGATTCCAACATATTTCTCTCACAATTTTATGATATAATGTATCTGGTTTTTCTCTTTATTATACGCGAGATAATATGACGAAAGATAAACGATTATTTAACCAAGATTATTCGATAGCATGATGAATAATAATTGTTTGGTTCTCTCTCTCTCTCTCTTTCGAAATTTTTTTTGTAGAAAAATTTAACAATTTACTATTATCTACAATAACAAGATATATCAAAAATTTGTTAACTTAAAAAATGCAAGTATATTACTCAAGAAATAGACCAGTTATCGAATCACATTAGAAGGGATCCAGTAACCATAACGCGTCGTCGTACTTTTATAGAAGATCTCTTTGTCGAGTTATAGGACGGTATCGCTATTAGTGCATCCCCCGAACCGACGTCTATCAAGCAGCCATCCTGTTCCACGGTCTTACGAGTCAGCGCGGACAATTTAGCACATCAATAACATGCCGCGGATAAAGGCAGCCCATACATCGTGGCTGACGTATCGTTTGTAATAAAACACAAAGGGGCGCTCAGCCCGCCAGCGGCATCTGTGTACCGTTCGCGTTCCGCGTCTATTCGTTACCTTGTCCGTCCATCCGTCCATCCCCGTCCTTTCCGTCCATCCCGTTCGTTCCGTTCATCCGTCCGTTCGTTCGTTCGTTCTTTCGTTCTTTCGTTCGTTCTTGCCGTTATTAACAGGCCGTATATCGTGAATGTTTTCTACCTACCGTCTCTCAGCGAATCATACATCACCCTTGAATGCGCGACGGCCAAAGACCGACTATAATTCATCTATAAGCTACGTCCGATCCCTCGACACTGGAAATTGCGAAAGACAAAATCGATTGGCTTCACGAATGACGTGTGCTTGCTTCTCTTCTTCTACTTTTTCTTTTTCTTTTTCTTTTTTTTTTCATTCTACTTTTTCTCACTCTCATTCTTTCACTAGTAACATTATCTTTTTTATTTTTTGGCTCCAGGTATTTTTAATTTGTTTTCCATTTTATACAGAGTCCATTAACTTTAAGTTTTTCTTTCAACGATATAGTTGATTTTTCTTTAGTAAAAGTCCTACGAATATCCTAAAGTTTGCTTTTATGAAAGATAATTCAACTCTTAAGTAATAGAGCGTTTTTTAATTATTTTATTCGAGTATCTTTCATAGAAAAATAAGTGTTCACTGGACGTCTTGCCGATTATTTTTCTCTTGATATTGTAATTAAAAAAAACTAGTATAAGATAAGAATTCTTGGATAATTGCTAGGACAAGTTCTCTAATTGAATCATCGGTACATTGACCGGTTTAAACGAAAGTGGAAATAGTTGCTTATAAACATGCGTTTATGGATACATACTTGCATATATACATATACGTATGTATCAACATATTGAAGTAACATCGAAGAAAACAGCTGAAGAAACATTACTGACCTTCCCGCAGGTGCAACGTACATGCGTAATTAATTTCTCGCTCGAGGTATTTGCGGCAACTTTAAAAGGACAGAGATATAATACTTCAACGATATCGATCTTACTTTTGCGGATTTTATGATTCATTGAAATAAATGTTCTCGAAGCTAGTACATTTCAAGTTAAACGATTGTTCATTCGTTAAAAAAAAATATGATTATCGAATAAACAATCGTATTCCTAGTACTCGTAAAACGTTAAATATAATACGAAAAGTAATATAGAAATGATCTAATGTTTCATTTACAAAATTACTAACTGGAAGAAGATGACGCTTGTTCTTGGAAAGAGTGAACAATTTAAAAAAACAAAAAAACAAATAAAAAATACCGACTATCTCATC